TGATGTGAGAGACACCAGACGGGGCAGGACGAGGCGGGAGAGGGGCAGGGGCTACCAGGGGAGAGGGAGCAAGGAACAGGGGGGGGGCAACTGGGAGACCTCGGTTAGGGAAGCGGCGGTAAAAGGAGACGGACTCGTCAAAGGTAACGTCATGAGAGTGGAGGAAGCGGTGAGACGGCGGGTGATAGAAAAGCCAGTCAGACGAGTCCAGGGGGAAACCGAGGAAGACACATGGGACAGTGCGGGCAGTGAGCTTGTCCGTGCCAGAGGCACGAACGTGAGCAAGGCAGCCCCAGACGTGGAACGCAGACGTGTCACCGGGGGACCCGGTCCAAAGAAGGGTCGGCGAAACCTGCGGCCGCTGGGAGCGTGGCCACAGGTTAAGCTGGTGAGCAGCGTAGCGAACAGCGAACGGCCACAGAAAATGGGGGGCATCGGCATGGATCATGGAGGTGCGGGCGACCTCCATGACCAAGCCGATGCGGCGCTCAGCAACCCCATTCTGCTGTGGCGAGTCCGGCAAGGTGTACGACTGGGTGATGCCCTCCGCACGACAAAACTGTCCAAGCCGACCAGAGGCGAACTCGCCGCCACGGTCGGAGTGGAGACACAACACGGGGAGACCGCGGTGGAGACGCGCAGCCACAACCCACGGGAGAAGAACGTCGGGCACGTCGGCCTTCCGCTCCAGGGGAAACACCGTGATGTAGCGCGTGTAGTCGTCGATGAGCACAAGGAAGTAGCGCTCACCGCGCGGTCCGGGGACGGGGGCAGGGCCCCAAACGTCCAGGTGCAGGGTCTGAAGGGGGGCAGTAGCCGTGCGCAGCGAGGAGGAGTGAGGGGCACGGCGGAGCCGGCCCTCGACGCAAGGCGTGCACGGTGGCGCAGTCGAGGGAGGAAGGGCGGGGAGCGACACAGGGAGACCTAAGACAAGGCCGTGCTGGGACATGTGACGCAGACGAGGGAGAGCAGGGTGACCTAAGCGGTGGTGCCAGAGAAGGGACGGGTGAGTGAGGGAACGACACGAGCAAGCTGCAGCAACCTGGGAGGACGCACCAACCGGAGGGGAGGCGGTGTCTAGGGTAAACAGACCGGACACCGGGTCCCTGGGGAACGTCGCAAGGGGGGAACCTGAGACAGCCTCAGAATAGACAGCGAACCGCTTGTGCCCGGGGAACGTGGTGGTGACGCCGAGGTCCTGGAGACAGCCGACACCAACTAGGTTCCTCGAGAATGAGGGAACGTGGAGGCCTGTAAGGGAGCCCGAGGGAACGGCTGGATAGGGAAGGGACGTAGAACTGCGAGCGACGACAGGACCCGCAGAGGGGTCGGCGAGAGAGACGACAGCTGGCGTAGCAAGCGGCGTAAGTGCGGAACGGTCGCAGAAGAAGCAGGCAAAAGCACCGGAGTCGAGAGTGAAGGACAGCGCAGCAGTGGCAGGGGCGGGGAACGGAGCCGGTGCAGAGACGAGGCTAGACAAACTAGGCAGTCCTACGCCTGACGCAGTAGGGGAGGCTAGGCTATACAACGGTGCAACACCTAAACTAGAGAACACATGATAATCAGATCCAAAACACTAGCAGAGTCAGAATACATGGCATGCAAAGCAGCACGTATCTGATCCATGTTTAACTCAAAGATCGGCCGAGGTCCGGGGCCGGGCCAAAGCGACGACGAAACAGATCGTTGAGGCGGCGGAAACAGCGGGCAGTCGGGTGCGGGCGGCGGCACAGAGTGCCGCGAAGGGGCCCGGTCTGAAGCTGGTACTGACAAGTGACAGCACCGAAGCCGCTGGTAGACGCCAAGCTGCGCGGGCCGCCACCACTGCCACCACCCCCTTAGGAACCGGGCCAACCAGGCGGGAGGTGAGCCCACTGCTGCAGGGGCTGCGGCTGGGATGGCGGCTGCTGCTGGGACGGCGGCTGCGGTGCGGGCTGCTCCTGCTGCGGCTGGGGCTGCTGCTCCTGACCACCAATGCTAGTCCCCCCAGACGGACTACTCTCACGACCACCAGCACCACTACCTGCACCACCACCCCTACCACCCTGGCAACCATGGCCACCGCAGCGCGAGCGCTGCTACGGGTGGACCACAGCAGCCGTCTCGGTGAGAGGGGTCGGCGTGGCGACCGCAGCCAAAACGTCAGTGAACGTGCACTGGGAGGGGGCACAGCCGTGAAAGATAGAGTCTGTCGGCGCACCGCTCGACTGAGCGATAGTGCGCTGGCGAGTCTCGATCTCGGTGAGGGTGTCGACAAAGGCAGTGAGAGTGAGGTCAGCCGGGTGCAGGCTAAGGAAGTGATCGCGAGCACTAGCGAGGCGGTGTGGCAGGCGCATGGCAATAAAATAGAGCGTCATGCAGAAAGGGGGGGGGAGCGCAGTGAGCTGGGCAGCAGTGCTGGCAGTGCGATAGCGGGTCTCTAGAGCACGCAGGTGAGTGGCAAAGTCTGCGACGGTAGGGAAAGCTGCAAGGTCTGGGAAAAGCATAGGGAAGAGCAAGCGACCAGCAGAAGCAGACGCGGGTGTGGAATAGCGGGCAATAACAGCGTCTAAGTAAGCTTTGGCCGTCTCAACAGTAGCAAAACGCGAGCGCTCAGAGACAGGAAGGGCATGGCTAATGGCGACCTGAGCGACTGCATCGCGGGAGTCCCAGACCGCACGGGCAAGCGTAGCAGTAGAGAAGGTCTCACGGTCATCAGAGGGGGGGCGGGGGAGCGAGCCGTCAACATGGACAACCAAAGAGTGGCCATCCTGACGCTGACCTGTGAGGTGGCGGCGGAGATCGGAGAGCCAGGCGGCGAAGTCAACCGCATGGCCCTCGGCGTCCAGTCGGAGCACGAAGTCCGCCATCGTGCAGGGTCAGCGGCACAGCTCCACAGGAACTCAGCTACAGCCCCCTCCAGCATAGTGGCCACGAAGCGCCTCAGCACGGGCGAGCGGAGGAGACGGAGCCCGAGGCGGCACAGCAGGACGAGCCGGGACGAAAGGGCCAGGCAGGTACGGTGGGGCCAGGCAGGCACGGCAGGGCCAGGCAGGCGCGGCAGGCCAGTCATGGGCGGCGGGGCCAGGAGGCACGGCGGGGCCAGAAGGCACGGCGGGGCCAGGGAGGTGTGGTAGGGCCAGGTAGGCGCGGCAGGGCCAGGCAAGCGCGGCGGGGCCAGTCAGGGGCGGCGAGGCCAGGAGGCGCGGCAGGGCCAAGCAGGCGCGGCGGGGCCAGGCAGTGCGGCGGGGCCAGGCAGGCGCGGCGGGGCCTGAAGGCGCGGCGGGGCCAGGCAGGTGCGGCGGGGCCAGGTAGTGCGGCAGGGCCAGGCAGGCGCGGGGGGGCCAGAAGGCGCGGCGGGGCAAGGCAGGTGCAGCGGGGCCAGGCAGGCGCGGCAGGGCCAGGCAGGCGCGGCGGGCCAGTCAGGGGCGTCGGGCCAGGAGGCGCGGCAGGGCCAGGCAGGCGCGGCGGGGCCAGAGGCGCGGCAGGGCCAAGCAGGTGCGGCGGGGCCAGGCAGGCGCGGCAGGGCCTGGCAGGTGCGGCGGGCCTGTCAGGGGCGGCGGGCCAGGAGGCGCGGCAGGCCGGGCCAGGCGCGGCGGGGCCCAGGAGGGGCGTGACGGGCTAGGAGGCGCGAGAGGGGCCAGGAGGGGCGTGACGGGCTAGGTGGCGCGCCAGGGGCCCAGGAGGGGCGCGACGGGCTAGGAGGCGCGAGTGGGGCCCAGGAGGGGCGCGACGGGGCTAGGAGGCGCAATAGGGGCCCAGGAGGGGCGCGACGGGCTAGGAGGCTCGGCAGGGGCCCAGGAGGGGCGCGACGGGCTAGGAGGCGCAATAGGGGCCCAGGAGGGGCGCGACGGGCTAGGAGGCGCGACAGGGGCCCAGGAGGGGCGCGACGGGCTAGAGGCGCGGCAGGGGCCCAGGAGGGCGCGACGGGCTAGGAGGCGCGACAGGGGCCCAGGAGGGGCGCGACGGGCTAGGAGGTGCGAGTGGGGCCCAGGAGGGGCGCGACGGGCTAGGAGGCGCGGCAGGGGCCCAGGAGGGGCGCGACGGGCTAGGAGGCGCGAAAGGGGCCCAGGAGGGGCCGCTACGGGGCCTAGGTGGGGGCAGCGCGACGGGGCCTAGGTGAAAGCGCGACGGGCCTAGGAGGAACGGGCGGAAGCGGTAGGTGGGGGGGGGGGGGGGTCGAACCTACGGGTGATACCATATCAAAAGAAAACTGAATGATTGCATAGAGGGAGAGAACAAGGGTATATACCTATGAGTGTTGTACCCTGTAAGAGGTGACCCTATACAGTCTATACAAATATGAGTTATACATATATTTGACAAGGTACTCCAGTAGTTCCAGTGCTGGTGGTGTTTCCAATTATTGTTGACAGTAGTCTTAATTCCAGACAGCTCTCATACCATGTAATAATTTGACAGGTGTCGCAGGAGACCAAGTATAGAATCTGCAAACACGAACACTTGGAAAACCTCAAGTGTTAGCTTAGGATCTTTACTGGAATGGTAGACTAGTAAGACAGCGGAAGTCTTAGAACTTGTAAAGTGTTGACCATAATTTAATGAAGAACAAGTTAAGAACAAGTTCAGAATAAAGTTCAGAACCACGTTTAGAATCGCGTTAACTAAACAATGAAGACAGGCTACCTTTATATCTAACAGAAGTACCTGTTCGCTAATGTATCTGTTGTCACTATCGCGCTATGCGCTCTAAATGACACTGAAGAGACGCGACTGTTCGCGTGACTGAAACGACTGTCCTCATGACGAGAGCTATTTGATGACGTCATCCTACGGACTTATCTTCTACAGAAGTATTCGACACGATCTATCGATAATCGGCTTACAGAAATGCTAAGTATGAATCATATCACAACAAAAACATAACAACACTGTTTTCATATCTCGGGCAACCTTAGTCGTTGTAGGGGTGTAGTCTCAAAAGCGGAGTGGATTTCGCAAGATCGCTCAAATCCTGCGGCCCTTTCCTTCTCCAGGAGTCTGCATCACGGCCAAACACGTGCTTGCGGGGCAGTCAGCCATTCTGACATTCCTTCACCGCCCATGCTGGCCCGTTAGGTCCTTGCCTCAAGTCCGTCGAGCTAATCTCCACTTCTTTCTCGCCAGCCTGCAATGACGCCCACGTTGCACATTCGCGACGCGGCATTGACCGTCGTGTGTGCCGCGCATCACCCCCAGCGGCCCCTCCATGCGCGCGTCGCCCCACGCCCACCACACCTTCTCTCGCGCCTACCATTCCCCTCGCTGCGCCTCCTCCCATACCGCGACTCGCGCCGTTTTCCAGCGCGCATGGCCCCTTCTTCTCCCGCCGCCTCCCCATCAACCCCTCTGCGCCCCCCCACGCCGCGCCAGGCGAGCGGCGGTGCCCGTCGCTGCGACCACGCCGGGCGGGCAGGGCTCCGTGGCGGTCGGCTCGTTCCGCGCGGGCCAGAAGCGCGCGGAGGTGCGCCTGCCCGCGCTGCTTCTGGCGCTGACCAGCGCGGACGTCCTGCGCGGAGGGGCGCCGGGCAGGAGGCGGTGGACGCGGCGGTGGCGGCGGGCGCGAGCATGGTGGTGGTGGGGGACGAGGGCGCGGGCGGCGCGGGCATGGAGCTGTTCGAGGCGGCGCCGTGAAGGCGCTGCTGCGCGGGCGCGTGCCCCTGCTGGTGGCCGAACGCGCCGATATCGCCGCCGCCGCTGCGCCGACGGCGTGCTGCTGTCCGATAACGGTGAGCGGAAGGGCGGTGGGGGGAAAAGGGGGTGGGGGGAGAGGTAGTGTGCGAGGAGGGAGAGGGCGGGGGAGGAGGGGGAGAGGA